TTGAAGGCTTTTGTTGCGCCGGGTGACCCACGATCGCAAATTTAGATCCCGGAGCGCATTCTGCGTGGTAAAAGCGGCCACTTGCCACTAACACCACGTTCCTGCCCCAGCATGTAAGATAATTATATAATTAATATATCCCGGTTTGGATAGCGGAAGTCCTCTACTTCGCGTTAAGTCCTCATTCTCAAAAATGCATTTAGAAGAAAAAAAATCAACTCGTTTCCCTTCCCGACTTTTATCGCGGCTTCACCAAAACCCAAATACGGCCCCTCTCAAACAACTCAAATGCCACTCCCCTAATCGAGAACTGCGTAATACACGTTAACCCTGTCACGAGAGTCCAACCTCTTCAGCCGTGTTTCGCGCGCGGTATCATGCGCAGCTAAACTGGTGTTACTGAAAACGGCAGAAGGCAGAATCTCCGAGGAGTCGATCCCATGACAACTCGTCCATCAATCCTGACCCTTGTCACTGCGATTTCCCGTTTTGTGTACCTGTCCGAAGAAGAATTCAGCAGATAAAGCAAGCAGATATGAGCTCAGCTTCTTAGGACGCTTATAGTAATGTACACTTCATCTCAATTGGCCAGAATGACCTATTGATCTCTCCAAGTTTGGCTTCACTTTGGAAAGCAGATAAGAGTTTTATGAGGGATTTTTCTTGGACAGAAATGCTCATTATTTGCGAATAGAGAGCAAAGATCACAGTAAGGCTAATAGCTTTGAAAAATAATCTAAGACACCCTGCTTTATACAGCAGGATTTTTACAAGATTTGGGAAGTGTTTGTAGCTATCAGCACATGCCAGGAGCAGTTTGCTTCCTATTTCTGATAGCCGTTCTGTTCCAATCTTTTACAATACATTCAATTGTTTCGTCATTGGAGGAAGTAACACACAAAATAGGAGTGGAGAAATCAAGAATTCACCCAAGGGTGGAATGATTCGCAAGTGAAGAGCAATAAAAGCTAAGTATTGCAGCTGTCACCAATACGCCAAAACGGCTAAGGTCATTAAGTGATAAGCAAGCCGGAATTGATTACAGAAACATCGACAGTGGTCTGGCATGTTCTATTGGATACTTTCGCAAGGTTTGAAAGTTATATTACACTTTTAAACCGCTACAATGTAGAGGTTAAGCTGCTTATAATCGGCACAGGTCAATCAACTTCTGGTGGATGCACTTTCGCATGGATAATTTCCATTGTGTGAATCAGCCCTGAACAAAATACAACAGCAAAGTTTAGTTCTTCATCATGACCCGATTTTTCGGCTCTCACTTTCGCTGCGCAACAGTTGAGTACACTTCGTGCGAAGTGGAGTGCTGTGTGCAGTTTAAATGCGTTTGTCTACGAAACTCAGTCAGACTTTGTGACGATGGTACTATTATGGAAAGTTTTCGCGTAAGAAAGCCCACATCGGGCGAAAGTGATAGCCAAAAAAAGCATGCGCAAAAATGAGGCGCCGCCTTGTCACGACGGCTGTTTCCATCAGAGTCGGTGTAAACTTGTATGCAGGGGTCGTTTGGTGTTCTTATTACGAACATGACATTTATTTATGGCGTTGGCGCCATTTAGCGTCTATTTTTTGCTCGTCTGCCTCTCATCGTACCATGATCGTAACCTCAACAAAGCCTGGGGGAGAAGGGGCTCAGAAAAGGGCAAGCCACTCGCCCTGTTAACTCATACACTTCATCTCTTGCCATAGGTTGTGCAATTTACCCAACGCGGTGTTCCCCTTCCCGACAAGCTCATCCTAGGCACTGCACCTAAGTGAGAGAGCCCAGGAAAGCAGAAAATATGTGTTAGACTGCACCAAATCCAAAAAAGGAATGTCATGTTCGTAATCAGGACATCAACCCCTCACACAAATTTACACCAAGTTTCGTGAAAACAGGCGTCGTGATAAAATGATGCCAAATGGCGCCAGCAGCAAAAAAAAACAATATCATATTTGTAATCAGAGCATAGAAATACCTCTTTAGGCAAAGTTTCGGCGAGAAATAAAATTTTGAGATGGGGCAGCAATGGTGGAATAGTGCCCACTTTTCTTTTACGACAGCAGCAGATGCGTTCGAAGTCACCATTCGAGTGAATTAGAGTCCATGATGGACGTGAAAGAAAAAATAAACCGTGGAAAAAGGAATGGACGCATATCAGTCGCTGCGGGATGGTATCTGTGATGAGTGATAAGATAATGTGCGATAAAATATTGGATACGAGATAGCCGAACTAGTCAATATGCATACTATCTTTTTGTGGATCTTTTCTGAATAAGTGAATAGAAGCAGTCTAAAAGTTCTAAAATTGATCTGTAGGACACTCACTGAATCGATTTGTGATTCTTAAAGGACGAATTCACGATGAAAAAGCAACCCATTTCAAATTAACCTAGGGATGGTGAGTGGTACACGAAAGAAGGAAGAACCATGAGAAACGGCCCAGAACCCGAGAAATGGTACCCCTTCCTTGCCCGTTGATTCGAGCATTGATGCGACTCTCATCGCTGTGCCCTCTTCAACACTACGCTCTCTCAGCTATCTAATCACTCGCCACGTATTGAACTACGGCGAGTGATCAGATGATCGGTGGGCGGAGATCGCCGGACCCGCCAGCTTTGAGGCATGATAGGTCGCCGAGGTCAAATTTTTCCATGCGAATTGCGCGTCAGTTCGCACCCTCAGGAGGTCCGTGGGTCCCTCAACTAGGTCAGTTTCCCTTTCTTTCGACCTTCATTCTAATCGAGAATTCCTCCTTTAAGCACTAGCGCTAGCTGCCATGTTTCCTCTCTAAATTCTGCATGAGTTTCTTGATTTATTTATTTATTTTTATTTATTTATTTAATTTATTTATTTATTTATTATATACTCGTATGAGTGCCACTGCTAACTTAACATAAGACCAAAGGCAAAGGCAAGGGAAGTTATATAAAGAGTAAAGGTAGAGGTGAAGGCCAAGCTGGAGATGACCGATGATTAGTAGAAGTATGGACAATATATTGGAATAAGTTAAAATAATAATGAAATAAAGCAAACCTACAGTGATATCATGCTAATGTATATGATGTGGTGCATAGCAACTACATACACTGCACCGCATAATTACACATCCACCTTTGAATTTTTCAAAAATTCTTCCTCCCAAGATGAATTCGAACATGGCTACAGATGGTAAACGTTGTTAGCATAGATGCAAATTCGCAAATCAACAACGAGTTCCAGTTCGGAAACAGAAAAAATTCCTTGCAATTTCCAGGGAAAGTTGCACTGCTTTGTTCCTTAGTGTTACACATCCAACTCATATTTTCCTGTTACTCCCTTTCGCTCGATTAGGCGTATCTATTGATGTTGACAAATCTTCCTCAGGTGGTAGTCCAAGGAAAACCACTCATCGGACAGCAGCAGTTACCGTAATTTGAAAAAAGGCAAGTTGTAAGAAAATTTGTGGAAGAGTTGTGAAGCGGGCAAAGTTCTCAGAGTTTGTGCCGAAGATCCTTTGAATTTGATAATTTCATTGAGGACTGTGTAGGATTCGGAACAAATTTGAACCCTAAACATCCTTCTCTCAGGGCTAAATATACACCAATCACACAAGAAAATCTAACAGTTCTCCGCTCATCCATCTGCGACAATCAAAGTCTCAGTTGAAACATTATACATATTCTGATAGGCGGCAGCTTGGCGTAAATGATAGAACTGCAAATTCATCCACATCTGGGAAAAGCTTCTGTTTATAACAACAAAACGTAACAAAAATCCGAGTCAGATTGCCAAAAGGTGAGGCCAATTCGATAAAGGTGAGGTTGGCTCTTTATGTTATTTTATATGTTTTTCTGTCTTCCCTCTGAAATTTTTTTTTCATCTCTCGATACCTTTCGCAGGTAAGAAAAAGTATCATATGTAGAAAGAACAACATCAAGAGAGGACGACGTTTTGCAAAAACTTAGAGAGAGTTAATATTTTGTGCTCAAACGGGAACTTACCGGGGAGACATTCAAATTCCCATGGAACTTTGAATTGATACGTCTGAATGTATCGATAGAGCTCCAAAAACGCTTGAAATTAGCCAGAATGCGGAACTAAAAATGCCCAAATGAAACCTGCTATAGCGATTTGTTGAGAGTCAAAAGTCGCTGGAAACTAAAAGCGTGGAGTGAACTGACACCGCCGCTGAGTCCGGGTATTCAGTGTGTGGCCCTGCCCGAGCTAGCGATCAACTGCCTCGTCAAATGTTGCATTTCAAACAGGAAAAGAACTCATGACCTACCAGCTAGAGAGCGAAAGCACTACCACGACTCTACGGCGACTCTGAACGGTCGGACGCCAGCACGATTTGCATGTAACGCTTTACTAGCTACCGACTTTGACTGCTCACAACTTCTTTGGTGGAATGATTTTGCAGTTTTATTTCCCATATTTGTAATCAGCGTTTGAAGCTCTATCGATATATCTAGGTCTCAATTCAAAGTTCCATGGGAAGTTGAATGCCTTCCCTGGTTAGTGTTGATGGGCGAAGTTGTATCTATTCCTTCAGCATCTCCCCTTCGAGCCTTTTTCGAATTTATCATGAAAGAAAAGTTTTTGGAAGGTTTATAATTGGACATAGAATCATGCGGGGCAGTATATTAGCTGCCTCGGACCAATTGTGAGGTAGATGTGGCTACACATAGAATCATAACTTTTCAATAAAAGGAGATAGGAGCTGCTGAAATGGCTCGTTTTGCTCTTTGTCAGCCAAAAAACGTGATCTCCCAAACACTAGAACGGATATCTGGTTGTCATTTTTTAAATATCTGCTCGACTCATAAACAAAATCGATAATGAAGCAAAACAGTGGTCTGAAATGCTTCTGCTGAACTGGTGCAGTATGAGTACCACGTATGTATTACACTGTGTCTACTCTGTGTCAAACAACTGCGATTATCACTGCAGCTTCATACGAAGCTTTTGAAACGGAAACACTACGTTCAAACGGCTATCTTGTTACACGTCTCCAAGTAACCGGATTATCCAGAGACCCTTCGTCCATTTTCAAACCACCTCACGACGCAATTAGACATCGCTTTAAAAGCGACCTCGACTCTTTACTCCCTATTGCACTAGGAATCATTTCTTGAATCGTGTCTATTTGGGGATGATGTGAAAATTTGGAATCGCAAGTACATTCTTAGCACCTAACGTTTTTTTCACTGCCATAAGAAAGCGCTACTGAATAAGGCCCGACGACACAAGGACAAAGTAGATGTCAAGATGTGTGGCTTTTTTGTAAAATGTGTAGAGTGAAGTAGCCCTTGATGAGGATGAAGCCCGTTCTCACATCCACCAACGAAGGTGTCAATTGGCCACTTTGGTCGATTTTGTTAATAATCTATACGTCAAAGTTCTGGGTCATCCAGAAAGTCCTGGAACACATTGAATTTGATAGTCGCTAGCTATTCAAAGACAAATAGCGCCTACGGTAAGGTAGGTACACCCAGAGTGTATTTCGCAAAATCATAAAAAGGCTCCTTCTCCAACGGAAAGGCAGTTATGGACCCCGCAAGAAAGTAAAACCCTTCGACCGATCGTATATTGTGAATTCTACAAGTAAATTCTGCAGGAGAAGCAGCTAATGACATCCGCGCTGTATTCAAGAAAGATGTAATACATCATTCAACCACTAGGCGTTTGTATCGTTGCTTCGAGTCCGGCGATATTTCTATCGAAGGACAGGAGCATCCTGGACACCCACCAACTCCTCAAGGCGATCATTCACGCAGCGCCTTGTTTGATCTCGGAGTTGTACATGACCACTCTTGGATCTGCAACGACGCACGTGTGCAGCAAATCGACGGTCAGCACTAGTCTTGCCTATCTTGGCTTCCGCAAAATTCCTTCTACATGGGTTTCTCAAGAACTCACGAATCGGACCAGGCCTTTCATGTCAGCATTGCGAAGTCATTGCTTCTTCGTTCCCAATTCCAGGAACCACACATTCGATCACCTTCTACCTTCTTTATGCGACCAAACACCACAGAATTTTCCGCGGTCATAACTGACGTGGAAATAGGTGGGTAACTACTGGAGTTGCAGTAGCTGTTTAGGTAAGATAGAGGTATAGTGAAAGTGAAATTTATCAAATCATCAATTTCCCGCGGTGCGGCCATCATGTCGAAATATGTGAGCCGTTACTCAATATATTTGAGCTATATCGGCTCAGATATGTTTCGACATGATGGCTGCATCGCTGGAAACTGACGATGTTTGATAAATTTAGGAGCGTGGCGTGTGGATCAGTAATATTGAAATCGACTCAACAGATTTCTGCACTCTTCGCGGTGGATCCCTCTTCCTACATCATCAGGAGCCTGGTTTCAGCATCTACAGCTTCCTGGCGACCACTCAGGTAGACAGGTGGTTACTCTCTATATTTTCAGGAGGCTCGCGATAACGGCCTCCACAGCGTAGTAGCAGATGCTACGCACCCGCTACATTCTAAATCTTTTGGTTATCAAGCGCAGCTTTACTGAGTGCACGGAGTCTGTGCTAAGGGAGTAGAAATTCCGTTACTTCATTGCATGAAGGCGAAGAAGACTGAACGGACCTACTCAGGGATTTTCCAGGAGCTGAGAAGAAATATAAGTGGTATTTATCAAGAATAATCTTTCTCGAATCTCAGAAGGCTGTGATAAGAGCCGCGAAAGGAATTTCCAAGGAGCATCCAGGAGCGGCATTCCACCTCGTCCCAACCAATGGAATCGTAAAGCGTTGCGTTTCACCCTACAAAGAATACAGCTAAGGGAAAGGAGATAAGGCGAACGAATGTAGAACGGTGGAATGCATCTTGAAGTCTTATATATCATTTTTGTCCCATTGTCACTTCAAATTTATTGCCATTAAATTCCAGGTGTTTACAACGCCGCGCTATGTATTGTCGCAAGTATGGGCTTTGAGAGGCAGGCTCTCACACCTAGCGAACACGCCGCGTACAGGAAATGAGAAGAATCCCTCGCACACACCCGAGCAACATCGATGGAGCGCCCCTCTAAAGTGATACCTGGAAACGATGCGCTCAACAAACCTAGCCGAAGCCTTACACAGGTAGTGAGTTCAATTATAATAGAGGCCGCGGCTGCAGTGGCACTTCTAACATAATTTTGCAGTGCGCCAAGGAAATGTCATCACTGGTGAACCAAAGCTTATTCCGCTAAAGCGCACTCCATAAACGCTCTTCGTGAATCGAGCTACGAAGCACGTGCAATCCTCAAACGCCTTCCAAGAGGTTAGGATTTTGAAGATGACCATGGAATACCACTTTTCCCAACCTACCTTTGCAGGACCCAAAAAAATGTCAAGGTGCTTACAGAGCGTGATAAAAATAGAAGGGCAAAGACTGCGGAAGAAATGAAAATTTACGTATAATATGTGCTTCCCTTTCATAGTTTTGCATGAAACACTGATTTCGGATTCGACAGGGTTGATCAGAGCGAAGCTAATCAAAGTCAAATAGAAGAATACTGCGTAAAGATGTCCAAGTTTGTATCTAATACTGCGATTTAAATTTTGCGCGGATTATGAGATGTTTCATACCAATTCTTCATTTGCAGTGTGATTTAACTTTATGGCCTTTGTTATTTTTGTGTTTATTGTTATTGTATTGTTGTTTTTGCATCCTACTGAAATTTATCGTATTGATTATTCTTTATTTGCCTACCGCTTGTTTTGATAGGATCCTTTCATCTTGCGATTCCTTTACTAATAACTTGCTTTGACCTAATCGTTAATATTACAATAATATTCTCCAGCTTCTCTCTTCTTGCAACCTCGGCATAGTAAGTTATTGTGTGTTAGTTTTTGTGCCTTTCGAGGTTGTCGGTGGAACTTTTATTAAAGTGGCCTAACGTTTCGACTTGAATCGTCGTCTTCGGAGGCCTGAATGTGGTTCAAAGTTTAAATTTACGCACTAATCGACCAAGCGCCTCGACTTCTCCAGCGGTTCCGACATTATGCTAAGAACCACAAAGAGAATCCCGAGCAATATGAGAAATAAACTCACCCTGGTTCCACCGTTTGTGCGGAGAAATCCGCTACCACACTTTAGCGTTGACTAGTAGCAAGTAAGACATACCATGTGGTCTCCTGTTATTAGTTAAAGAAGGAGACGCACGTAACGCTTCATGTTAATAATGTTAATGTTAAAAAAGTACCACCGACCAACTTCGAAAGGCACAAAAACTATCACACAATTGACCATAATATCTATCTCTCCTTTGCATTGTACTGAAATTGCTCGTGATAATTATTCAACTGTCTAGCATTTGTTTTTCTATATAATTTAATTTTTGTAATAGTTCTTCCATTAATGAGTTCGGTTTGTTTTCTGTGATTGCCTGACAGAGAAGAGTCATCAGGCAGCGCATGCAATAGTGAGGTCACCTCACAGGCATCTCTGCATAGGTGAGAGGTAGAGGTGCGCTAGACGAATGCGAAATTCTGATCAAACGTTTTTCCCGACTGGAGCGTCACTATAGCCAATGGACGCTGTTGCCTGTCTGTCTTCTAACCGCTTACAGCCGAAGAATATTGAATGAATCATCATCTGCCGGATTTGGCATCTCCAA